TGCCCCGCCTCAGCCCCGCCCCCGCCCACGCAGGGGAGCCCGGCGCCAGCAGGCCCGGCACTCACCTGCATGCCAATGATGGCGTAGATGAAGAAGAGCATGGCGATCAGCAGGCAGATGTAGGGAAGAGCCTAGGGGAGACCAGAGCAAGGCCGTCAGCCCTGGGGGCTTTACACCTGGTGTCCTCCCAGGCCCTGGGCTTTCCCGGGACTGCTTCGCCGCTCAGTGCAGCAGACCCAGCTCAGAGCGTCCTGCGCACGGCTGGCTGGGCCGCAGGAGAGAGGGGGGCACCAGCAGTCAGCCGCCGAGGTGACCATGGGACCTGGAGGCCAGCCTGGCCAGGCACTTGGAGACAGACAGACAGATGGATGTGTGCGGAGAGAGAGGAAAGGAGGTGCGTGGGAGACGGACAGACAGACGATAGGAGGAATATGGGGACAGAGACAGAGAGAGAGACAGGAGATGTATGGGGACAGACAGACGACAGGAGATGCGTGAGGTCAGACAGACAGATGACAGGAGACGTATGGGGACAGACAGATGACAGGAGACGTATGGGGACAGACAGATGACAGGAGACGTATGGGGACAGACAGATGACAGGAGACGTATGGGGACAGACAGATGACAGGAGACGTATGGGGACAGACAGATGACAGGAGACGTATGGGGACAGACAGATGACAGGAGACGTATGGGGACAGACAGATGACAGGAGACGTATGGGGACAGACAGATGACAGGAGACGTATGGGGACAGACAGATGACAGGAGACGTATGGGGACAGACAGATGACAGGAGACGTATGGGGACAGACAGATGACAGGAGACGTATGGGGACAGACAGATGACAGGAGACGTATGGGGACAGACAGATGACAGGAGACGTATGGGGACAGACAGATGACAGGAGACGTATGGGGACAGACAGATGACAGGAGACGTATGGGGACAGACAGATGACAGGAGACGTATGGGGACAGACAGATGACAGGAGACGTATGGGGACAGACAGATGACAGGAGACGTATGGGGACAGACAGATGACAGGAGACGTATGGGGACAGACAGATGACAGGAGACGTATGGGGACAGACAGATGACAGGAGACGTATGGGGACAGACAGATGACAGGAGACGTATGGGGACAGACAGATGACAGGAGACGTATGGGGACAGACAGATGACAGGAGACGTATGGGGACAGACAGATGACAGGAGACGTATGGGGACAGACAGATGACAGGAGACGTATGGGGACAGACAGATGACAGGAGACGTATGGGGACAGACAGATGACAGGAGACGTATGGGGACAGACAGATGACAGGAGACGTATGGGGACAGACAGATGACAGGAGACGTATGGGGACAGACAGATGACAGGAGACGTATGGGGACAGACAGATGACAGGAGACGTATGGGGACAGACAGATGACAGGAGACGTATGGGGACAGACAGATGACAGGAGACGTATGGGGACAGACAGATGACAGGAGACGTATGGGGACAGACAGATGACAGGAGACGTATGGGGACAGACAGATGACAGGAGACGTATGGGGACAGACAGATGACAGGAGACGTATGGGGACAGACAGATGACAGGAGACGTATGGGGACAGACAGATGACAGGAGACGTATGGGGACAGACAGATGACAGGAGACGTATGGGGACAGACAGATGACAGGAGACGTATGGGGACAGACAGATGACAGGAGACGTATGGGGACAGACAGATGACAGGAGACGTATGGGGACAGACAGACGACAGGAGATGCGTGAGGTCAGACAGAGACAGATGGGTGTGTTTGGGAACAGACAGACAGGCCGCATGGGGACAGACGGATGGATATGGAATCAACGTGTCTTCCTAGCCAGTGGTCCCCCCGATGGACGCTACGCCCTGGCCAGGCACCATGGGTCAGTCATTCTGTCAGTCAGCCCTGGCCCCGCCCCCATTCCCAGGCACCTTGAAGGACTGGACGAAGGTCCACAGCAGGATGCGGATGGTGTAGCCCTGGCGCAGGAGCTTGATGAGGCGGGCGGCCCGGAAGAGCCGCAGGAAGCTCAGGTTGATGAAGTTGTTCTGGGAGGGGAGGAAAGGGGGGAGAGGTGAGCGCTCCCCGGGCAGGAGCGAGGGCAGAGCCCCACCCCTGGGGAGCCTCGCAAACCAAACACACTGAGAACTCAATACAGCGCCAACAGAACAGCCGCACCAACCGCCGTCGGTATTATTAACAGAGAGCGACGGCCGATAACAACCAGCCCTGCTTATTACCACTTGCAATACCATTAATTAATGACTCAAGATAATTAGCAGCAATGCGTGATAATAGTAATACACCATAGCTCACAAACAAGGGTTATAATGCAAATGCTATTAATAAATAGTCATTCCGAGATCAATACATGACAGTGCAGGGTACCAATCAATGCTGAGCCGGAACAAGAAATGATCGTTGCAATGCACACGAATCCATCAGTCCCGTAACACCGCCTGTTACCCACAGAAACACCAAATTGTGATCATTGTCCTGTCACAACTAACAGAAACACAATAATGGTCTGGATGCACTGTGACTGGCTCTCAGTGAACTAAGCGCTGTCGATTTACTGCAAATAAATGGCAAATACTAATCTGAATCCAAAGAATGACAATACACCACGGCAATTAGGGATACTATTAACGAATCACAGCGGGGAAGCCACCCGGCAACCTCCACCCCCCCAACCACGCGTGAAAATGGGAAACAAACAGGAAGGAAACTAACGAGCCAGACTCGTCCCATGGGGACTCACGGGCGACTCGTTAATCCCAGGGCACGGAGATTTGCTGGCACAGGCGGGGAGAAGGCTGCGGGGCTCAGTGCACGTGCACAGCGCACAGGCCGCCAGACAGAGCGGAAGCAGGAGCAAGGTATCTGAGGGCCTGCAATGCAGCGCAACTTGCATGTGGTGCCGAGGCCTCCGGTGCATCTCTCTGTGCACCCAACGGGCCACGGGGAGGACGCCTGGAACGGCCTCTCGGGACGGGCTGGGGGCTCAGCCTGCAGGCCTGGGGGACACGCAGTGGGTTTTGCTGCATGGATGGGGAGGGCCAAGAGGCTGGGAGGCCCCTGTCCTGTTGATTTCACGAAGATGCATTCTGGACCCCTTTCCCCCAGGAGGGGGGTTGGCACATGGCTTCTGGGACCTGGCTGAGCCGGGCAGGGTAGGGCAAGGCCAGCTCTGAAGCGGTAGTTGGGCTGGAGCTCCAGGGCGAACAGGTGGCACAGCCGGGTGACACCGCTCCGAGGTGAGCGAACAGGCGGCACAGCCGGGTGACACCGCTCCGAGGTGAGCCAACAGGCGGCACAGCTGGGTGACACCGCTCCGAGGTGAGCCAACAGGCGGCACAGCTGGGTGACACCGCTCCGAGGTGAGCCAACAGGCGGCACAGCTGGGTGACACCGCTCCGAGGTGAGCCAACAGGCGGCACAGCTGGGTGACACCGCTCCGAGGTGAGCCAACAGGCGGCACAGCTGGGTGACACCGCTCCGAGGTGAGCCAACAGGCGGCACAGCTGGGTGACACCGCTCCGAGGTGAGCCAACAGGCGGCACAGCTGGGTGACACCGCTCCGAGGTGAGCCAACAGGCGGCACAGCTGGGTGACACCGCTCCGAGGTGAGCCAACAGGCGGCACAGCTGGGTGACACCGCTCCGAGGTGAGCCAACAGGCGGCACAGCTGGGTGACACCGCTCCGAGGTGAGCCAACAGGCGGCACAGCTGGGTGACACCGCTCCGAGGTGAGCCAACAGGCGGCACAGCTGGGTGACACCGCTCCGAGGTGAGCCAACAGGCGGCACAGCTGGGTGACACCGCTCCGAGGTGAGCCAACAGGCGGCACAGCTGGGTGACACCGCTCCGAGGTGAGCCAACAGGCGGCACAGCTGGGTGACACCGCTCCGAGGTGAGCCAACAGGCGGCACAGCTGGGTGACACCGCTCCGAGGTGAGCCAACAGGCGGCACAGCTGGGTGACACCGCTCCGAGGTGAGCCAACAGGCGGCACAGCTGGGTGACACCGCTCCGAGGTGAGCCAACAGGCGGCACAGCTGGGTGACACCGCTCCGAGGTGAGCCAACAGGCGGCACAGCCGGGTGACACCGCTCCGAGGTGAGCCAACAGGCGGCACAGCCGAGTGACACCGCTCCAAGGTGAGAGTCAGGCCACTGACCTTTGCTCCTGGGCGGCCGCCCCGCCTGTTGCGAGACCCAGACTTGCTCCTGGCAGTGAGCTCTGGCTGGGCAGACAGGCTGGAGACCCAGGTGCCTGCTGTGCAGGCCTGACCTCACTCCCAGGGCCTCCCTTTCCCTCTGCCAATTGAAGCCCGGCGCTCTAGGGAAAAGTGAGAGGGGGGCTGGATCCCCCTCCTCGGGCCCTGCCTCTGGGGTTCTCACCCCACCCTGGGAATCAAAGCTTGGTATCTCTCCGCCCTCCCCCAGCCTGGACCCCTCTCTCCAGTCCCGGAAAGGCCAAATGGGGGACCCGTCTGGGCTGGGTACTGCCTAACGGGGAATCCAAGAATCCCTCCCGCTGTTGGCCAGGCAGGAAGAAACCCCTTGGTTTCAGGGAGCAGCTGTGTTGCTGCTCCACACTCGCCCTGGGACTCGAGCGATTGCACGGCAAACATCACAAGACGTATGTGGCCACACAACACACACCATGGGACTCACGGACAGCTGCCCCACCCCCGCCCCAGGGCTTGTGACGTCTCGTGCCTTGGGCAGTGTGGGAGCCTCGCACAACCGCCCAACATGCCAGAAGAAGTGTGTGCAATCACAATGCGGCCACACAACATGCACCCCAGGCTCCCTGCCCGTCCCATCCCTCGTGACTCTTTTACAACGGCACACAACAGGCCACGTGACTCACACACAACACAGCCCAGAGACCTGGTCCTCACCCGGCAGATACCGCGGGGCTGTCGTGTACCCCGAGGGTCCCTTCAATCCCCTGCCCAGACACGGGGGGGCTGCCCTGGCCCGTGCCCCCCGAAGCTGGGAGCTGTCCCAAGCAGCGAGTGGAGCGCAGGGGCCTGGGGCTGATGCGTGAGCGCAGGGGCAGCAGCACCGATGCATCAGCCTCCCAACGCGACTGTGAAATCCAGCCGCCAGGCCCCCCCGGCAGAGAGCTAGAACAGGCGGGGCGGGGAACGGGGGGACCTTCCATCACCCCACCCAGGCAGCTCTTCCAACAGCCTCAGCTCCTCTGCACCCTCCTGCCCTCGCTGGTCCACCCCCTTCAGCCCTGCCCCCCTTGTCCTGGAGGAAGCCTGCCCCTCTGGCAGGGCCCAGCCCAGGTCCTGCTGGGGCCTTCGCGTCACCCATGGCAAAGATGGCGGCAGCCTCGGCAGAGAGGGGACCTGCCACGGCAGGACGGGGACTGGGGGGAACCCCTGGGGGTGTCACAGTCGGAGGCAAACTCAGCCCTGTAGGGGCCGGGGGAGGGGAGAGCGGTGGGGGACCCCAGGGGCAGGGCTGGGGGGAGGAGGTTTTTTAACTGGCTCCCCTCGCAGATCAGCTCCTGCTTGGCGCCTCGTGCTGCTCCCTCTGACACAGGCGGCAGAGCAGGGTGGCAGGGCTGGGGGGCCGAGCTACCGGACCCGGCAGGAGCCAGGACTGAGCCGGGCGGCTGGCCAGCCTGCTCCCAAAGGCCCTGGCGGGGGACCCGGGAGCAGGCGATAGCATTCGCTGATTAGCTTTGGGGTGGGGGTTGATCGACTGCGCTCCCACCCCCGTGTGCACCGAGCTGCGTGTGAACGCGCACGGTGCAGTGGGGGGGGCGTGCCTGGGGGAGGGATCCACGTGTGCACGGGCCATTTCCACGTGCACATGTGGGGCCCAGAAAGGCCCTTGGTCACTGCCCATTGCGGCTTCTCAGCCAGCGGCCCATGAGGGGCCCTGCGGTGGGCGCGCGAGGCCGCCCCAGCCCTCGGAGGGGCAGAGCCGGGTGCCCGAGGGGCCTCAGTGAGCTGCAGAGCTGGTGCCGACCGAGGGGGGGAGCCGG